GAAGGCCTTTTCCAGAGGCCTAGCTCCCTGAGCTTTCTCCACGCCCTGCAGAAGGGGAGCAAGTCTCAGTGCAGGGGAGGGGAGCAGGGCAGGGTGGCCCCCATGGCCTTCTGCCCCTCTGTTATCCCAGTTCCTTTCTGAGAATGCCACCAGAGGTTGCAGTCCCTTGACTCTAGGTCTGAGGAGCCCTGGTGGCCCCAGGCCACTGGGAGGAGGGACATATGGAGGCAGAGAGGTTGGGCATCAGTGTCCCAGGCCTCCCTGCTTCTCCCCCTGCACCCCTGGGGCACTTCTGCTGGGGCCCTCCTGGAGGAGCGCACCTTCAGATGGACATAGTCGTACTCCTCGGCCATCGGGATGCCCTCATACTCGTTGTGTCCTGCTGGATCGTCCTCCACCTCTCTGCCCTCTGAGGCCTCCTCGACCTTGGGGCCCCCATAGCCAGGCAGGCGGGGTGGGGGTGGGGGCAGAGGCCGGTCCTGGATGCTGCCCTTCCGGCCTGGGGCAGGAGAGGGAGCCGGAGAGGGGCTGGGGGCCTCAGGGACAGGCAGGGCAGGCAGAGGGCGGCGGGACAGGCTCTCAGCTGAGGGCAGCCGGGGCCTGTGCGGGGCTGGAGGGCTTCTGGCCAGAAGCTGGGCCAGGCTGTCTAGGTCATTGGTGGCTGAGCCTCTTGGGGGCTCTGGAGAAGGGGGTGCCTCTGGCCCCAGCAGGGGCACATCATAGATGCCCTCGTCAGTGCTCTCGTCCTCCCCATCTGCCAGCAGTTCCTCAGGTGCCTCGTACAGGTTGAGGAGGGCCGATGCCCGTTTCAGATTGGAAGGGGCAGCGTAGAGCGGGGGCCCTGGTTCTCGGCCCCCTTCCCACTCCAAATCCAGCTCTGGCTCTATAGGTGGTTTTGGGGCCAGAGGTACGTCGTAGGGAGCTTCCTCCTCTCCAGGGGGCTGTAGTGCTACCCGAGGGCGGGAGAAGGAGGTGGGGGAGTCATAGGTGTCACTGGAGGGAACCCGGAGAGCAGCAGGCGGCACGTCGTAGACCTACAAGAGGGCACGGTCAGTTAGCTCAGCAGTGGGCCTCCTGAGGGCTTGTGTCCTTCCCCCAGTACATGCATGGGCCTCTAGCCCTCACCTCCAAGGCATCTCCAGGGGCAGCCAGTTGGGTCCCACTGCCTCTGGGGACCTTGTAGATGGGGTCAGGGGAGGGTGGGCAGGGTCCGGCTGGAGGCCCTGAGGCAGGACAGGGCCGAGCTGGGGGAGGCACCACATACACCTGGGGGGATCAAGATAGGTGGATGGGTCAGTGACTCAGCTAACGTCGCCCTGGAGGCACCGGCCACGGCCCCACAGGGAGAGAGCTCCACGGGGTGTGGACAGACTTCAGCAGAAGGGCAGTGAAGAGTGCGAACGGTCTCAGGGCTCACCCTGCCCCTAGGCCCAGGGGAGCAGGGGAGTAGGATGGGGCTCTCTGGGCTTGCGGGGAGGGAGGCTCTAGCTCTTACCTCCTGGTCCTCATTGTTGTGCTCTGGGGCTGGATGTGGTGAGAGGCTGGGCTTGGGTGCTGGGCCAGCAGGAAGGAGCTTCACTCTGTTGGCAGGCACGATGCCCTGCTGCCCATGCAGCGAGCAGAGGCACCAGCCATCCAGCCCGCCAGCGCCCTCCCTCTGCAGAACCCGAAGGACATCCCCTCGGCGGAAGGACAGCTCCTGGGGGGACTCAGCGGTGTTGTCATATAGGGCCCGGGCCAGCTGGGCCTGGTGGGTGAGGTGGGAGTGGGGAGACAGTCTTCACACAGATATCAGGTCATGTCATCTGTTCAAAACCCTTCAGAGCTCCCAATTTCCCTCAAGCTCAACTCTGAACTGACTTGGCTCTTCCTGGCTGGGCCCTACCTTTCCCTCCGGCCTCATCTCTTGCACTCTCCCTTCCTTGTCTTTGAACTAGACAAGCTCATTCCTGCCTCAGGGCCTTTGCACCTGCTGTTCCCACTACCTAGAATGCTCTTCCCTTGACTGGCCCCCTTTCATCCTTCAATTCTGCTTAAACTATTCTTCACTCTTCTCCCTACCCCATTCTCTGCCCGTCTCCACTTAATATTTCCTGTGTACACTTTATTTCATTTGTCTGCCTTTTAAATGATCAATTTCTTCCCTTTCACTATAAGCCTTATGAGAACAGGGTCTCCGACAGGCCCAGCAATTGGGCCTGTCCCAGAACTGGTCTTCATACACACATGCTGATTGGATTTCTTCCAAAGCCCACAAAGGAGTCCCACTGAGGTCCCCCCTAGATCCTCCTTCTCCTCCCTTCTATTCCCCAGCTGCTATCCCTTATAAGCAAAAGGTTAGATGAACCTATTCCTAAAGCAGGGACCCTACATTCTGAGAGGCTGGGAGAAGCTTAGTCCAGGCAGAGCACCTAGGCATAATAAAAAGAAAACAGAAACCAAAGCAATTGCTTTGTTCTCAGTCTGAGCAAATAATGTTCTCCCAGAAGAGGCTGAGGTTACCATGGAGAAGAGAAAAGTATATATGCTGTCGTGTGTGTGTGTATAGAGGGGCTGGCAGGGCCAACCAGAGAGACAATTATCAGCCTGTGTCCAGTCCGATGGGGTGGGGGCATCTAAGCTTTTTCCATCGAGGGCCACATGCTCAGGTAATAAGTCACAGATACCAAGTGCAAATGAGGTGTCAAGACACTGGGTGGGGTTTGTATTAATCATTAATCATCTCATCCCATTTAATTCTTACAACCACCTCCTGAAGGAGACGCTATCATCCCTATTTTGGAAAAGAAACTGTAACAGAGAGGTTAGTGCTCTGCCCAATGACACGCAGCTGGTGGAGCATGGTTTGAACCCCAGGCTGCTGGATTCCAGGGCCCGCACTCACGCGATCACTCGCCTTCATGCCTCTCCATGCTCACAAGTGCGTGGATCTACTTTTTTTGTTTGCTTGTTAATTAGTAACAGTGGTTGAGTGGAGAGGGTCCATGACTCAAAGCTGACCCACTACCTAGAATGCTCTTCCCTTGACTGGCCCCCTTTCATCCTTCAATTCTGCTTAAACTATTCTTCACTCTTCTCCCTACCCCATTCTCTGCCCGTCTCCACTTAATATTTCCTGTGTACACTTTATTTCATTTGTCTGCCTTTTAAATGATCAATTTCTTCCCTTTCACTATAAGCCTTATGAGAACAGGGTCTCCGACAGGCCCAGCAATTGGGCCTGTCCCAGAACTGGTCTTCATACACACATGCTGATTGGATTTCTTCCAAAGCCCACAAAGGAGTCCCACTGAGGTCCCCCCTAGATCCTCCTTCTCCTCCCTTCTATTCCCCAGCTGCTATCCCTTATAAGCAAAAGGTTAGATGAACCTATTCCTAAAGCAGGGACCCTACATTCTGAGAGGCTGGGAGAAGCTTAGTCCAGGCAGAGCACCTAGGCATAATAAAAAGAAAACAGAAACCAAAGCAATTGCTTTGTTCTCAGTCTGAGCAAATAATGTTCTCCCAGAAGAGGCTGAGGTTACCATGGAGAAGAGAAAAGTATATATGCTGTCGTGTGTGTGTGTATAGAGGGGCTGGCAGGGCCAACCAGAGAGACAATTATCAGCCTGTGTCCAGTCCGATGGGGTGGGGGCATCTAAGCTTTTTCCATCGAGGGCCACATGCTCAGGTAATAAGTCACAGATACCAAGTGCAAATGAGGTGTCAAGACACTGGGTGGGGTTTGTATTAATCATTAATCATCTCATCCCATTTAATTCTTACAACCACCTCCTGAAGGAGACGCTATCATCCCTATTTTGGAAAAGAAACTGTAACAGAGAGGTTAGTGCTCTGCCCAATGACACGCAGCTGGTGGAGCATGGTTTGAACCCCAGGCTGCTGGATTCCAGGGCCCGCACTCACGCGATCACTCGCCTTCATGCCTCTCCATGCTCACAAGTGCGTGGATCTACTTTTTTTGTTTGCTTGTTAATTAGTAACAGTGGTTGAGTGGAGAGGGTCCATGACTCAAAGCTGAGTCAGGCGCATATGAAAGCTTCCTTATACCCCGTCTCCCCTTGCAATAACCCACAATAATACACGGTGCTTCTGTTCCATGCTGCCCTTCGGTAGAATCAGGCTTAAGCTACTTGGAATATCAAATGCTATTCAGCTTCAGTTATGATTGTCAAATGATATGCTGGTGTAGGTCCCAGGCATGGTGGCTTACAGGGCAGTACTAGAGAGCAGCTAGTTTGGATGCTACTGGCCAGCTAAACATGTAGACTGACTAATTTGCTAAAAAAATCAAAAAGCCAAAAAACTCAAGCTAAGAATCTCCGACAGGCTGCCCCCAGAACTGGGGAGAAGGACGCCCACTTGGCCAGCAAGACTGAGTATCCCTCTCTCGTGGCTGGGGCTTCCCGCTGGTGGGGAGGACACCTAGGCTTTCATGGCAGGGTGATTTTTTTTTTTTTTTGGAGAGGTTTTCGCTATAGGGCGCGTGCACTTGCCAGACAGACAGAGAGAGACGTAGAGACAGAAAGCGAGAAATCACCCCCCAGGGGGGATGGTCACGCCGCAATCCTTTCTCCTCCATTCTCCTCTCGGGATCTTGGGCATGCACACGCGCCTGACGTGAGTTTTAAGCCACTGGGTCCGGGACGCGAACCACGGTCGACTACGTGGGAGTCCAGCGACATAGCCATTACGCTAACTGCTGGTTCCCAATGGCAGGGTGATTTTTAATGACTGACTCCTCTTCCTGCCTGATCCCAACTCATGAAACCACTTTCTGACTACTTTTGGCTTCTAAGAGCATTCTCTCACAGGAAGAAAACAGGCTAACTATTGCTAGATGACACTAATTCTGGGTTAGTTAGCTCTGCACTTTTCTTCCAATGTGAATGATAAATTGATGTTTTAGATCTAACCAGGGGGTTAAAAACACAATTCTAGGGAACCAGCAGTTAGTGTAATGGCTGTGTCGCTGGACTCCCACATAGTCGACTGCGGTTCGCGTCCCGGACCCAGTGGCTTAAAACTCACACCGGGTGCATGTGCGTGCGTACCCAAGATCCCAAGAGGAGAATGGAGGAGAAGGGATGCGGTGTGACCATCCCCCCTGGGGGGTGATTTCTTGCTTTCTGTCTCTCTGTCTCTCTCTGTCGGTCTGGCGAGAGCTCACACCCTAAGCGAAAACCTCTCCAAAAAAAAAAAGAAACCACAATTCTAGAGACAGACAGATCTGGGATTGAGTCTGGTTCTGTCCCTTTCTTGCTGGGTGCCTTTGCATAGGTTGTTTAACAAATTTTCCTTTGTAGAATTCCATCTCCATATCCAAATAGCCAGTTTCTGATACTAACATTACTATCCTCACATTAACTGGATGAGAGCATGTGTCAAAAAGCCACGGCAAAGCTCAGCACAGGCCAGGTACAGTAAATGCTTAATAAACATTAGCTGTCATTAGGATCCTGCAAGTTTGATTAGCATAAATACTCCTCCCCCCCCCCCCCACCCTACCCCCAAGAAAAAAGGGAAAAATCTGCTCCTGGGACTATAAAGCTGACCAGCTACCCGGCTGGCTCCTGGGTCAGCATCTTTATGTCAGAGTTCCCAGAGGTAGTCGACCCTCCAGGAAACCTCCCCCTTTCCCCTCTGGGTTAGGGTCTTCTGGACATCATGCAGGCTGGGGAACTAAAAGGAGTTTTGTCTGAGAAGAGGCTAAGATTGATCCCATCCACAGGGATATGGGAGGATGGGGTGGCTCCATGCTCTTTCCAGTTTCCTTTCCAGAGTCCCCATTCAAAAAAGGCCAGAAAGTGGGTGGTAGCCTCTTTGGGAAATGCCAGGCAAGGCCTAGGAAAGGGTAGAAAGGGGACAGGGTTGCCTGGATTCAGACAGCAGAGTGCAGGACAGAGAGCACAGGCGGGCCTCCACAGCGCTCCTCCCTGTTAGGTTTGAATTCTGTCCAATGGGGCCAAATCTCTGGGCTCAGCAATTGCAGGGGCCCAGGCCAGAGGTGCTGATAGCTAGATTGATGATGGGCGGGGCCACCCCTGCGCCACCCCTCCTCAGGGGCCCAGCTGACTCCGAATGGCTGGCTTAATAGGGTGGCAGTGGGCCACTGAGCTCTCCGGGAGGCCTCCTCCCACTGTCCCATCATGCCAGCTGTCTCCTCCCTTTGTCCCCAGTCCCTGGAAAGTGGCCTGAGGCTGGCTGACATCACCTCTCCTCCTCCCTCTGTTTTCTCTTTCCCCATCCCCATCTCCCTCTGCTCGATTTCCCCCCTTTCTTCCATCCCTCCTCTAGAGATGGGCCTTCTAGGGTCCATTTTCCTTGAGCCACTTGGTGCTTTCATCCCTTCCCAACCTTTTACTTGCCTTCCAATCACAAGCCCCTACCAACCACCAGTGGCCATCTGTTCCCGCCCAGAAAAAAGCAGTTAGGGCTCGGGCTACATGGGCCCCCTCCCCTCCATCCAGGCGCAGGCTCCAGAAAGAAAAGGAGAATGGGGAGGGGGCGGGAAGAGGGAGGGACCCGGGGCCTGGAGGAGGAAGGCAGGAGGAGTAAGAGGGAGAAGGAAAACAGAAGTGAGAATAGGGGCTAACAGCTTCTCGGAGAAGAAAGGCACCAAGGACAGAGACAAAGAGAGGGCAGACGTTAAAGTGACAGGAGCACGAGGCGGGCCATGGAGGGCTCTGGCCGGCAGCC